GATATAAAAATTGCATCAAACGGAGGCCGGGAAGGGCCTCGTCGGAGGCAAAAATCGAGAGGGGGCGCGGCGGCGCCGCTGGTCTTCGGCCGCGTATTCCGGCCGTTTGGCCGGGATTTTGGCTTCGATTTGGCCATAGGAGGAATCAGCGTGGAAAAACGAGTCGGGGGTATGAAATTTACCTCGATCGGCGGTCGGAAATTTTCCCAGTGCGGCGGCGGGTGGCGGCGGTCGGCCTCTGGTTCGTCTTCTCCGGCGAGCGGCAGGCGGCTAGGGTTTGTGGTCTGGTGTGGGGGTTCTATTTATAACCCCTTGCCCTTTGATTTCAGCCGTCCATTTTGTTTTAATCTGGGCCGTCCATTTTTTATTAAATCTGGGCCGTCCGATCACGCGATTGATCTGGGCCGTCCGATCGCACCCACGCGGATCGCCAACGTGGCCCGTTCAGGAGCGACGTGGTCTTGCCACGTGGCAGGCCCCGGTTGGCCGGGCCTGCTGACGTGGCTGCCGACGTGGCTTTTTTTTTTCCTCGGTCCGGGCGCTACATATATGATATACTCAATCATCTACGAGGTCAAATTTTTCATTTTAGACCTTACTTGTGTTATCCATATTTTGTTTTATCGATCCAACTCGTAGTTTCTTAGTTTTGTCTAGTTTTTGGGATAAATTTTGTAGCTCGTAGATTATCACAAAGAGTCTTTTATTTTGGTTATCGTAATCGGTCTGTATAATTTAATGTATCAACATACCTTATTATTCCCTTAAAAGATACACTTATATTAATTATATTTTTAGGATATACTTATTATAGTACTTATATCATTAAAATATTGAAATTATTTTATAGGATAAGTTATTATTCTTTTGAAATAAAAGTATTTTTATTGTGAAAGTTTAATCGAATAGTATTTTATTTATACTATACAAAATTGTGACCATATTATTAGTTCATTACAATGAACTCGAATATAATTTTAGTTGAAATTTATATCACCGTGTTATTTTTGCACTTCACCATTGTATTATTGTCGTAAATATTTGGTAATAATTATTTTTTAATTAATAATTTTGGTTATAACTTGTGAGAAATAATTCTATTATAATATGATAGTTAAAAAAAATAAAAAGTTTGAACTGATAAACACAAATTTAATATGGTCTATCTTGCAAGAATTGACAATTAAAATCTGAAATTTCTATCTAAAATTTCAATCTTGATGTGAACTCATAGATAAAAATTAATTAATTTTATTGCTTAATTTAATTTAATCTTAATTAACTAAAGGGGAAGTGTTTAAGTTTTACAAGAAAAATGTAAAAGCTAAGCATATGATGTAGAGATATTTGAAGTATTCTCTTTAGACTACAATATTTATATAAATTATGTAGAGTAAATTAGTAAATTAGTTCTTAAAATTTAATAATTTATAATATAATTTAATTTTTCATATTTTTAATTTATTTTAATTGTCTAATTTCCTTCTATTTTAACGTTTTTTGTAAAATAAGTTAAAAAAATAATTTTCACTATTTAATTAAATTAATAAAAAAGAATTTACAATATTATTAATTAATTAAAATTTTTATTTTAAATTGTTTTTTTAATATTTAAATATTATTTGATTATTTTAACTTTTTTATTATAAAATGAAAGAAAATTAGTCATTTTAAATAAATAAAAATTGTAATAAATATTATAAATTAAATTATAATAAGTGTTAATTTTAAAGACTAATTAGTTTAATAATTTGTCTAATTAAATATTATAAAATAATAAAATAATAAAAATTACCATGTAATTTTTTATATTAAATAAATTATCATAAATTACAAAAAAAAAAAAAATTGAGTGGTATTCTTTAGTTACCAACCAAATAAAATAAAACCCAATAAAATGATTGGAGCAAATTAACAAAAAGGCAAGTTTTCCCTTTATAATTCACCATTTGGGGTGTATATTGTATATAATATATTGATATATTGTATATGATAGTATACAAATATAACATTTTAATAACTAAAACTATAGATTTAATAGGATATCATTAACTACTTATATATATATATATAAGTTTCAAACTCCATTTTAGTAATTGAATATGAGATTACTGAAATACTTAAAAAATACAAGGTGTGATATTTATGAGAATATACATTGTATATGTTTGTTTTAACTATTTAATATTAATATTCTATATTTGGTTTTTTTTTTCTAGTATTTCTCGAATTTCTTTTCTCGTAAAAATTTGTATAGTTCGGTTTAAATTTGTGAAATATAATTTCGAGATACACTTGTTTTGGAAATTTTGAAGCATATTGTTGAGTTCATATTTTAGCATGTTGAGTATATGCTTACAATATCTATAGAATATATGTTTACATTAAGCCAAGAAAAATAAAAGAATCAACATTTAGCATTTAGCATATGGCATCCATATCTCCACTTATTCCTCCCATCATTCACTATCATTATCGGAACCATATATACTATTTATAATGTAATACTCAGTCTCAAAAAATTAGATCGGAATAAATTTTGTTAATTTAAAGATGTATAAAAAATAAAATGCATGTTATAAATTAATGCGGGCTGAGTATAAATATTTCGCATCACACCGAATCCGAACCTTAGCCACCAGCCTCCCACTGAAGAAAAAGGACCAGTCGTCGGAGAAGGGAGCCAATCGCCGATTGCCGCAACGCTGAAGCCACATTCGACCGTAAAAAAAAAAAAGTAAAAATTCTCTCACCTGCTTAGATTCGATTCCTAACACCCCTATGGCCATATCGTAGCAAAACAAACGGTAGGTGAGCTGAAAACTGATGGCAAAACCCGGCAGAGCTGCTGCGAGCAAAACCTGCAACCGCCTCCGATGAACCCCTTCCCATTTTCCATTTCGTATGATTTTTTCACCGTTGTGTTTACTGTTCTGTTTTCTACATGTTGACTGAGTAAAAGGCCAAGCCACGAAGGTGAGCCGGCGGAGTTGCCACACTAGAAAATTTCACAACCGGTAGGTTTCTGTTTTTTAATTTTTATTTAGGCAAATTGAGGTCCCATAACGTGTTTTCTCACAGGGATGAGTATAAAAACGACCAAAATCGGTCGAAAATGGTCAGGTCGAGGCAAATCGCCGCCGCGGGCGATAGTTCTATCGTGAGAGCACAATAGTGTCGTTGTACCAGAACCTCGAAATTAGTCGAAAAAAGATTTTTAACACTGATTTTAGATTTTTAAGATATTTTTATGTACATAAAATGTGTTTTAATTTTCACAGAAAAATTCAAGAAACTTGAAAACCGCTAATAGGCGTAGTGGAAAGTTCGGTATTTCGAATATCGATTCGAATAAGAATCCATCGTCTTATTTTATGTTATAAAATTGAAGCTTAATAATCAATAATGTGGTATTTTGTACATTTTAGAAAACTCTGAGAATAATTACAGATTACTAATGAAACCAGAACCAGTTAGTCATTTATTTATCATGTTCAGCTGATTGTTGAGTTCATAAATTTAAATACATAATAATATATGGAAATGGTTAAATGATTTAGTTGTGATTCATTGATATATATGTTGATTGTCTTGCGTGATTTACGGTTAATTTGTAAAAATAAAAATTTATATGCAAACGGAAAATTGATTGCTTATGTGAATTAATGAATGATTATCTTACTAGATATCCTAGGAGATGGTGGACGGACCGGGTACATAGAGAACCCTACCGTGAACGTTATTTCATATCGGACGGGGTATCGATGGATGATATTTTTAGCGCTCATACCGAACAGGGTATGAAGACGGCCAAATTTACCCTCATACCGGACAAGATATCGGGAGATGATATTTTTTGCGCTCATGCCGGACGGAGTATGAGGACGGTCATTTAGTTGACAAAATTAGATATTAGTTCACGCGTAGTGGGACATCCATATGGACCCCCAATGATATCACTAAGTAAATAAAAAGAAAAAATTGTTGTTATTATTCACTTGAATATGAGATTATGATATTATTTGAGTTATTGTCTCTATAGGTCGGTTTTGAAAATATCACAACGATAAATATGCAATAAATGATTTTACTTATGATAAATAAATTTACTTAAATTAAGAGTTTCGTTGGCCGTTTTTATAATTTTTATTAATTTTCAGTTTTTATATCAGTGAGTAGTGTGATATTCTTACTGGGATAATATAGTTCACCATTTCATTAACTACTTCAGATCAAGAAAATCAAAATTCAGATCTCAATCAACTCACCTGGACTCTGTTTAAAAGTTAGTGAATATCATTTTAAAATATTCAGTTATTTGTATTTTGTTTATTTATTTGATTTTCGTTTTTTTTTTAGAATATATATTCTCATAATCTTATTGGACATTCTCGTAACCTTATTTGATATTTTAAATTATTGTGAAAGAAATGTAAATCTTAAATTTTATTATTTTACTTACACATTTAATTTATAATTTTATTTTTTTTTAATTTTAAGATCTCTACATATAACATAATATATATATATATATAAAACAAAATTGTGACCAAACAAAGTATCTAGTCACAAACTACATCTATATATATAAATACATAAGATATATATGGATACCACAAAAAAGATATATATAAATCTATAGATAAGTATATGTATATATTGTACGTAACAAATCAGAAACTATAAATATTAAGTAACAACGTATCTGGTCAGACTTCAGAAATCAAACGGTAACAAACTTATAGGAGGAAAATCAATTACGTGTTATAATATCATACGAAGACCCAATTCAAGTTAACGGTGAAATTGTTTACATATACTTGTCAAAATGCATTTAACAAATGTTATTTTTTTAATACAATTTTAAAAAATTAATTAAAATAATTAAGATGAATTCTAAAATCAAATCTTATATGAAAGAAAACAAAATAAACTGGACGTGATTTGGTCAAATTGAATTGAAATTTGAGGTTTCACCCGAAACCAGACAATAATTGGGATTCTCATAACAATTCCATCATTATGAATTATGAATTTCTGATTACAACAATAATAATTCCCCAAAAATTATTCTAGCTGCGATCAGCGACCAAGCAATGATCAAAACCCAAGTAGAGAAAAAGCTTGATTGCAGAAAAAAAGAAGAAGAAGAAGAAGAAAGAATTTTCTTTGAATAATTAGATTTAGCTTTACAAAACTGAGCAATACGGCAAAAATTAAAAATTATGAACATGAATTCAGAAACTCTGTAATTTTAAAAAAACTGTAATTTTTTTTTTTTTGGGAGAAATTCAACTCAATTGGGTTCTCCTGAAAACTGCCGAACAGAACAAGCAACCACCCTCGCCCACTGTTTCAACCTCATCTTCACCGTCTCCGGACCATCAGCTACGAGAATTAACAATACTCATTTGATCAGAATTCAGAAACCTAAAAACAATTTTAAAAAGTTAATCAGAAAAAACGAAGATGTTTACCTGGATCAAATATAGTACTAGTGCTGCTACCCTCGCTGTCCGACGCAATTGACGAAAACGACGACGTTCTGGAAAGCCGTTCACTGTACTGCCTGTTAACGGCGCAGTAAAACTCCAGAGCCGGCAGAGTATCAGACAACTTCGGTTCCAAATCGGGTGAGTCGGGTTCAAACCCGAATCCTAACTCGATACAACCCTTGAGCTCCTCCAAATCATCGTCCGTGACGCTCTTGCTCCTTTCGAGGCCGATTTGATGGTTTGCCTGCCGTTTCCTGATCCAGGCCTCGTCCCGATCCGCGTCCGGAGACCACGATCGGTGCTTTAACAGAGGACACGGCGGCGGCGGCGGCGGTTGAAAATTTAACTTCGACATAGACCAGGAACGGTGCTTGTGAAGCGGCCGCGAAGGTATAGGAGGCGGCGGCGGCGGATTTGACGGCATGTCGAAGTCTTTGAACTCCGACATCAGTGCGATAATCTTTCGCCGCCGTTACTTCTCGGCCGGGAGGAAGGGTTTTGAGGAAGGGAGCTGCTAGGTTTTTGAGAATTTCTACTTTCGGTTGCTTTTGGGCGAAATTATTTTTTAATCAAAAGCCGTGTAGGAGTAGAATCTGTGAGCTGTAGGTATGTGTATATACATATACATTTATATATATATATATATATGTGTGTGTGTGTATCCATATATACATATCGGACGAGAGAACTCGACGATTCGGGGGGCGGGAGGAAGGAAATGTTTTGAAGTTGCGGCGAGTTTTATGTGGGTCCCACTCGGAGTTGGTCGGGTCAACGAGGGTTTTTCAGGTCCGATTATGGGACATTCAAATTATGAAGAAATTGGGTCAACTAATGATTTATTGCCACGTAATCCCACCAGAAACAGCCTGTCAATTAAATTTAAAAATTCATTAAAATTTTTCAAAATAAAGACTGCCTATTTATTTATTTACTAAACGTTGTTTTAAAATTAATTAATCTTGATTAGTGGAAAACACAAAACAGGCTTGAGAAACTTTCATTCAATTTTTAAGGTTTTAAAAGCCACTTATCAATTTACGAATTTATTTCTTGTATAGTTTGTTTAAAAAACACAAATTAATTATAAAATTTATAATTAAATTATTTAAATTACTCAATTAATAATTACTAATATTAAAAACCTAAAAAAATAAAAATAAAATGGGATTGTTCCGAAGAGAGCAATAATCCGTCAAGGATCGGAGGATCCTTTTTAGTTAAGGCGTTGCCTATTTTATTACGAAATTTAAGAATTTGACCAACTTATTACGAGATTTAGAAATTCAGTTAGTAAGAAAATAATAAAAATATTTTTAATTATATCTTATACATAAATATATTTAAATAAATTAAGAATAATACAATACCAATTAACAAAAATCAAATTAAAGATAGTCTAATCTTCAAAAATTAGGTGGACGAACCTAATTAAATTATTGGTTTAAGTTCAATTAAAACCCACATATGGTAATGAAAATAATCCATTTATTATAAATTTCTTTTGGTTTGAATCAAATTCTTACATTAATAATTAGATTTTCCGAGTTGAATTAAATAAGAAAATAGAATATTAAATTTTGATTGACACCCATGTAATTTGCTGAATTGTGAAGTAATTATAACTTTTTCTTGTATTTATAGGAATAAAATAAATACACATGAATTATTTGAATGCAAGTTTGAACTTTGAATTCCATGAGACTTGTCCCATTGGAGAAAGTAAATTGGAACGAGACCCTTTGGAATTTTGTGGGTTGGGTTTAGGTAGGAGTTAGTTTGGGCCACTAGAATCCAACCCATGAACCCACTTTGGGTCACAACCAATATTGAGTTTTGGAGAACTTCTTACACAAATTTTGAAGTGAGTTCATATACTATATGATAATATTTAGCTTCTTTTTAAATGAAAAAAAAAAGGTTACGGTCGAATTTTTTACCCGTTATTACTATTATAACTAAGAGAATCTATCCACTACAAAATATTTTTTTATTCAAAAATATAATAGACTTGTTTAAATTTATTTTATATTGATCATCGCACTCTTTCTAGCACACTAGTGAGTTAAGTATTCGGTTTTACTGAATTAAGCATTACAAATCGATCACCACAATCTTATAATATACCCACTAAGTAGTAAGTTTTAGGTTTTCAGTAAAATTTAAATCCGTAATCTTAAAATAAAACATCAAAATTTTAACTATTATGTGATCATATTATTAGTATAATATATAACTTTAATTATTCATTTTATTTAATAATTAAATAATTAATTTTTTAAAGCAATATTTAAAATTACGTAAAATATAATTAAAAATAAATAATTAGAAAGAAAAAAAAAATTCACATATTTATAACATAATTTTAGATTAGATTATAAATATAAATATTAAATTTAATTAATTTATATAATTTTAAATATGTTATTTTATTTATGTCCATAATTTTATATAAATTTAGAATTTATTATTGTGTGTAGGATTCTTTTATTAAAATATATTATGTCAGAATAAAAATACTTTTTAGATCAATAATGTAATATTTTAAATTAATTTTTAATATAATTTATGATATTTTAGCTGTAATTTATATAATTAATTTTAAAGGTACTGTTAAAATAATTTATTTTATAAATTAGTCGTTGCGTTTCATTTTAAAAAGTAAAAAATTATATACTTAATGAAATTGATTTTTTAAAATTCTTAATAAAATTTAAATTATTTTTAAAAATGTACACATTAATAGAATTTAATTATAAAAAATATATATATTTATTTATTTATAAAAATGGTTTTAAAACACTAAAAACTGGGCAAAACATTCAGTAAGATTGCATTTATAATTCAATTTTAAAAATATATGTTAAATGAAATACATTATAAATTTGAAATATAACAACTATATTGACTTTTAATTTCATATAATTAAATATGTTATGAATTTAAAAATAAACATATATTAAAAAATAAAAATAGTTTACCTACGGTCCAAAAGGCTCGCCCCGCCCGTGTCCATTGGTGGTTCATTCTGTACGTGCTTTTTTTTAAAAAAATAAAATAAAATAAAATAATTGTCTGATCATGATCTGGTGCGGGACCATGATACTGCTGATGGTAGTGCAGCAGGGGAATATGTCAGATTCTTGTTATCCCAGATTTAGATTCCTCCTCTTTTTCTTGTTTGAGAAAAAAAAAAAAAAAAAAAACTACTGATAAAAAATTAAAAAGGCTGAATCCTTTTATGTACTGTTGGAAAGTTCTCTGGTAAAAAAATAAAAAAAAATAGGAAACCAGGTTTTACTGTGTAAAATAAAAATTTTTAATTATTTAATTTTTAATGCAGTAAAAAAAACTATTTGTAAAAAAATTATTATGAGACAAATAGATAGATCTATCTATAGTGTTAATAAATCTGCGCGTTGTGTGATAGATCTTCCAAATCACTACGTACGTGTAATGATTCCGGAAATTTAAAAAAGAAAATGTATATAAAGAATATAAGTGCGGAAACGAATTAAAATATTCTGATTAATATCCCTTACACAATAACTTAAACGTACTAATAATACTGAAAATAAGTAATCTAAAGGAAAATACTAGAAATGAAAGACTATAAAAGAAACTAATAAACATCTAGGTAGATACTCGCCGTCTTCTTGTAGATCGGGCTCGAGAACCAAGTCCTCATGATCTGAAATTGTTAAGTAAGGAATGAGTTACACCAGCCCATTAAAGACATCACATTATATCACTGTCACATAAGTAAATATTGGTAAAAAACAAAAAACAACCAATAGAGCACAAGTTTCAAGTAAATTTATTTATCAATAATCAAACAATTTACCGTTCACTTACCTCAGTGATATTTATAAAAACGACAAATGGAAACAATAACATTACATATATCATAAATTCATACATAATTTGTAACATAGTGCATGTCATACTTTTATATTTCAATCATCAAACAACAGTTACCCCTTTTTTATCAACCTACTAGTATCCGTGGGGATCCATAGGGGTATCCGCTACTCGTGAACCATTCCCTTAAAAAACTTAATTTCCAAGGTCGTCCCCATACCCCGTCCGGTATGGGTGCCAAACAATAAACCTCAATACCCTGTCCGGTATGAGGGTCAAGCGGGTCGTCCTCATACCCCATCCGGTATGAGCGCCAAAACATTTAAAGTCTTCATACCTCGTTTAGTATGAGACAACGTTCCTGGTAGGGTTCTCTATGGACCCGGTCGATCCACCATCTCCCAAGATATCTAGTGAGACTGTCAACTTATCCATTTATCAATTCACATACATTTTCTACTTTTTTCTTAGTTTTCTGTTTTTCACATAAATATGAATACTTAAACAAGTAATGAGCATCTAACAAGGCAAGTATATCATCAGATTTATAAAATCAAGCAATAATGAAGTAAACTGTAATTCATGCATTCGAAACCATATAATAAATAAATCACGTACCATACTGCATTTATACTGTAAAATAAATCAAACAGGAACTGACAGAGAAATATGTCCGGTTCGGACTCCATTAGCAACTGCAATAATTATGTATATCTATTTAATTCGTACAAATACAGTTTTATCACTTATTAGACTTTAATCCCATGATAGGAAATAGGGTGAGGGGTTCTTACCTAAATCGAAGTCGAAAATTGAATTTTTACTGCGTCTACGAGTAGTCCCTAGGTTCCATGAATTTTTTTTTCAGGAACTGAAACGCGCTTACGGTACCTACACATGTCCCAAATAACTCAAAAATCAGACCCAAGGCCTATTCGACCAATTTCAGAATTCCGGCACAGCAGCTCCGTCGTGCTCCGGCGACAGCGGCCATCTTGGGTTGGCTGTTTCTGGCTGTTTTCGGCTGAATTCGGCCAAACTTGCATTGGTTCTTGTGAGACAACACCCCTATGGCCCTCGGTGGGCCAAAAAAACACCGAAAACTGAAACTTACCTGTGGCGGAGCTCTACAGTACAACGGCTCATCCGGCTCGAGTCGCGATTTGGTGTTTTGCTCCGGCCAACATGTAGAGGAAGGAACGATTGTCACAATGGTGAAAAAATTATATCAAATGGAAATCGAGAAGGGCCTCATCGGTAGCAAAAATTGAAAAAATTTGCCACGGCGCCGTTGGGCTTTCGCGGCGTTTTTCGGCCAATTGGCTAGTGTTTTTGCTCTGATTTGGCCATAGATGGGTTCAACATTGAATTCTGAGCCAAAAAAAATTTTTTTACCTTGTTTGGTGGCCGAAAATTGCTCCGGTGCGGCGGCGGGCGACGGCGGCTGGGCTGTCTTCTCCGGCGAGGGGCTCTGGTGGCTAGGGTTAGGGTTTGGGTGCGGATGAGATTATTTATAACCATCCGCTTTTAATTTGAGTCGTCCATTACGATTTAATATGGGCCGTCCGATTGCGATTAAATAGGAAATGAATCTGAGCCGTTCATCACGATACAATCTGGATCGTCCGTGCGCGATTCAATATGAGCCGTCCGTGCGCGTGCAATCTGGGCCGTCCATACGCGCTTTTGATTTGGGCCATCTGTGCGCACGGGAACGGATCTCAACCGTTCGATCGCCCGCACGCGGATTGTCCACGTAGCTCCCTTCTGCATGGCTTCCCGTGTCAGTGTCTCTGCCACGCGGCGTGTCCTGGTTGGTCAGGGCTGCTGACCATGCCGCTGATGTTGCGTAATTTTTTTAAATTACGTTCTGACCCCCAATTTTCAATTTTATTTTCAAAAACACCATCAGAATCCAAATTTTCACCCATTTTTCTCAAAATTATTTTCAATTAAATTCCTAAAATAATTTTACCCCTTATTATTATTATTATTATTATTATTTCTATTTAATTAAATTAAACCAAATTAAAACCATATATTATTACATAATAAATCATTATATTCATATAAAAATTACAAAAAAAAAATTAAAATAAAATAATACTAATAATAATAATAAGAATTGGGATGCTACAGTACGTCATTTGAAATTTTCATAGTATCTCTGTTACGGTGGTAGTATAAAAGAATAAAAAATATGTAACGTATGATTTGAAAATCATAACCGTCTATTTATAGTGGTAAAAAATAGATAAATCTATCTATAGTGGTAAGAAATCTGCACATTGTGTGATAGATCTTCCAAATCAATACGTACGTCATTTGAAATTTTTATACTCTCTCTGTTACGGTGGTAGGATAAAAGAATATAAAATATGTAACGTACGATTTAAAAATCATAACCGTCTATTTATAGTGGTAAGAAACAGATAGATCTATCTATAGTGGTAAGAAATCTGTGCGTTGTGTGATAGATCTTTCAAATCAATACGTACGTTATTTGAAATTTGTATACTCTCTCTGTTACGGTGGTAGGATAAAAGAATAGAACATATGAAATGTATGATTTGAGAATCATAACCTGTCTATTTATATTTTTAAATTTTCGTTATTTAAATTTTACTAGTTAGAAGATCAGAAATCATATTTTTACTAACTATATATAAAATAAATTCGACACTTTAATTTGACGTATTAGGGTTCAAAATAATTTTTAACCGTATAGAATTATTTAAACAAATTTTATTATATTTGATAGTATTTTATGTGTAAATTTTTTTTATATAAGTTCACACGATTGATTAAAATTTAATATTATTTATTAAATTAATTTTTTTAAAACAAATTTTTAGAAAAAAAAAAAAAAAAAAACAGAGGACGTACAAGCTACGCAATCAGTGCTTGATTGGAGTGCAGGAGGGAAAAAAAAAGGGAGAGGAGGAGGAAGAAGAAGAAGAAGGAGTGCAGTGCCCATGTGGTGGTCCCACCTATTTGTGTAAAAGGGTAGTTTTATTGTGCTGCGACTGCAGAGGAGTCACGGTGCACGCACGTGGAAGTGGGCCCCACTGGGACTTCCAGAATGTTTAGGAGATTGATTATCCTGATTGATTTATTGGTTTCATCCTTCTGATTGGTCAACCTTTTTTTTAAACACAAAATAAAACATTTGTACCGTAGAAAAAACCTTATAAAATATATTCAAATAAATAATTATAATAATATTTAAGTCGATTTTATATTTAACCCAAGTTGAATATTTTTTTAAAATTTTTACTTAATAATTGACAATAAAAATATGGTTATAATATTAAAAATATGAATATAATTGATTCGATTCTTTATTAAATATGTAAATTATGATTTTCTGTATTATTAATTAAATTATATTGTATTGATTATTTATTAAAAATTTAATTATTTGATATTAAGTAAGAAATATCTATATTTATATTAAATAAGAAATATTTAACTCATAATTTGTTAATTGACTTAATTAAATTTAATGGGATATTTCATTTATATTTTTTTCCACAAAAAATATTTTACGTTTTGAAAATTAAATAATTATTACTTAAAAGTAGAAAATTCAAGGTTTTCGTTATTTATGCAGTTATTTTTTTGTGTGTGGAAAATAGAGTTAAATATTATTACCAATTAATTCTGGAAATTTTAACTATTAAAAAAAGTAAATTAATTTTTATTACAGATTGGTTGTAACCGACGGTCCAGATCCATGGACTTGTCGAGACCCCGCCGCAGACAATTTCTTCCCATGCCGGCGTACTCTGACACCACGCAACTGTCCCCAATCAAGAAAAACAAAAAACCGGAGCCAGAGCCAATCGCCGTTCGCTTCCCTTGTCGGAAAGTGAAAATCAACGGTTCAGATTTTCCCACTTGCTTTCCTCCTATTAGCCAGACGTCACATCGTTCTTCCAACAGCTCTCTCATTGGGCCACGTTGCGTGATCTCGGTGGCTCATTAATCTAACGCATATAATTAATTTAATATATTTTTCGAATTAAAAAAAAAATCAAAAAATCCTCCCAAAAGAAGGAAAGCTCCTTAAATGGCGACTCGTGTCGAGGAGGAGATAGACACTTGTCGCCTCTAGGCAGCGAAGCTTAGAGAAATCACACGAACACTTCTCTCTCTCTTTCTCTCTCCCTGCGGTCGCTCGATTTTCCACGACCCAAAAATATTTTTCGATAAACAAATTTATAATAGAGGTAAAAAATGAGTCTTTCTCTCTCGTCTCTGTTGTTAGTTTCTACTGTGCTGTTTATTTTCCATTGTTGGATATTTTTTTCTTGGCTTTTTCTTTTTCTTTTTTCCTTCTTAATCTTTGTCTTTTTGTTGATAATTAGATAATTAAGTTTGGTAATTTTCTCTTTTCCATTTTCAGATGGATTTTTTAGTTCGGTTGATCTTATGAATAAATACTTAATTTGAGAAGATATTTTTTAGTTTAAATGGTTGCTAGTGAGCCAATATTTTCCCGAATTTTTTATTTTATTTTTTATCTCCTGGGTTTCTAGATTGTAAAGTTTACAACTGGTAGTGAAATTTTAAGCTGGAGATGGGTTTGCCTGGTTTTTTCTTTATGAAATTTTCGTTGATGTTATGGGTTTTTGATGGGATGTCTGATCATCATGAGTTGGGATAATAATGAGGTAGTTGTTGATAATAAATTGATGGGTTCAGTTCTTAAGATTGATTTCCGAGTTGGGTTGCTGTGATGTGTGAAAGTTGTTTGTCATTTTCTGAAGAGATGATTGTCTAAACTTGACGAAAGCTTAGTTGATATCCGGTTCCATCTCGACAAGTTTTTCTTGTTCTTTTATTGGATCCGATATTGAGGAAGATACACACACATATATATACACACATACACGATAGAAGAAGCTTTTGGATTCATTAGATCTCAATAAAAACTTTTTTCTAGTCCGGTCTGTACAGTGCATGGATTGGATATATAGTTCTGGAGGACACATGCTTGGTTCTCCTTGATTTTATACTTTGACTAATTGTTGAAGGTTCTTGAGAATGAGATCTCCTATGAAAACTTAGAATTTCTATTGGTTGCAATTAATTCTCCTGAGGTCTGTGCTGTAATTTCTCATTATGGAATTTTTACTAGTATCTATTTTTTGAAACTTGATATTTGGTTTGTTTAGCTAGAATATTGGAAATATATATTTTTTTGCATGAACTTGATTGGTGCAAATTTACCCATGGTTGGGATCAATAGCAGAATGTTTACTGTGTCTTACTCACCCTTGGTTTTGGCTAACTTCATAGATCTTGCTGAAACAGAAGTGGGATACTCGTACTATCTTGCTTCTTCAAGTGCATGGAAGTATAAGATATAAATTTGATTCTGGATTTGGTTGTTGCTGGGACAAGAAACGGGATCTCATATGAATTTCAAGAATTTTGGTGATGCCTCAAGTGGGGAAGGTGGGAACTTGAGGCCGGTCGGGAATCTCCCCTTGGCTAGGCAGTCTTCAGTATACTCTCTTACACTGGATGAGTTCCAGAACACGTTGGGTGGAATGGGCAAGGATTTTGGGTCAATGAACATGGATGAACTATTGAAGAATATTTGGTCTGCTGAAGAGACTCAAGCTATGAGTTCTTCAGCTGGAGGAGGGGGAGAAGGGGGTGTTCCTGGCTCTAATTTACAGAGGCAAGGATCGTTGACATTACCCCGGACACTGAGTCAAAAGACTGTTGATGAGGTTTGGAGAGACTTGATAAAGGAAAGTAGTGTTGGGGTTGCAGCTAAAGATGTGAGTGATGGTGTTGGTGGCGGTGCTGGAGGGGCAAATATGCCACAGAGGCAACAGACTTTGGGAGAGATGACTTTGGAGGAGTTCTTGGTGAGGGCAGGAGTAGTAAGAGAAGATACTCAGCAGTTTGGAAGGCCAAATAACACTGGTTTCTATGGTAATAATACTGCTAGTTTAGCTCTTGGATACCAACAACAAACACAGAATCACGGGTTGTTGGGAAACCGAGCTCCAGTTCCTAATCAGCCCTCTAGTTTTGGACTAAATGTTGGTCGAATCAGGATGAGTCAGCAACAACCACAGCAGCAGCAGCAGCCCCTCTTCCCCAAGCAAGCAACTGTGGCATTTGCCTCTCCTGTGCATTTAGTGAATGGGGGTCAGCTTACTAGCCCAGCATCAAGGGGTTCAATTGTTGGAATAGGAGATCCATCTTTGAATAACAATTTAGTTCAGGTTGGAGGATTGCATAGTGGGGGAGGTATTGGCATGGTTGGTTTAGGAACTGGGGGAGTTACAGTTGCAGCAGGATCTCCCGGGAGACAGATATCTCCAGATGTTATTTCAAAAAGTAGCGCAGATAACTCTTCATTGTCACCAGTTCCTTACATGTTTGGACGGGGAAGAAAATGCAGTGCGGCTTTGGAGAAAGTAGTTGAGAGAAGACAAAGGAGAATGATTAAAAACCGAGAGTCAGCTGCAAGATCTAGAGCTCGCAAGCAGGTGAGCGTGGTCTTTTAGCTATTCCTTATTTTTCAGCTGTTAAATATTCTTCATTGTATTCTGAATTGATTTTCTTTGTTGAATTTGATTTTTTTTTTTGAAAACTATAGATATTTTACTTGGATTGCAATTAGAAAGATTTAATGAACTGTATGTTTATTGACCATTAAGTTATTTGGTGGAATAATGTTAACATTTGTATTGGGGTTGTGGCAGGCCTATACCATGGAACTGGAAGCAGAAGTTGCAAAACTAAAAGAGCTGAATCAAGAATTGGAGAGAAAACAGGTATTGCCTTTTTTTTTTCTTTTTTCCTGAACATTATTTTAAGATCATTTTCTTTTGAGTTGAAACTTGGCTTTTGACAATTACTAAACTGAATTTTCACTGATACAGGCAGAAATCATGGAAATGCAGAAAACTCAGGTAAATGCTTATTGTTTTGTCCAGTTCATTTAATATAATTTTAAGTGTATCAAAAAAGGTAGTCCCGAAACTGAAAGAAACATGTTTCTCAAGTTCCTTGATTTGGTAAAATCATTATTCTCTCATATTAATGAAAAAGCCATGCTGTTATTTTATGACTTTGTATACTGAAATAAAAGATTTCTTGGTTTTCTTTTAGGAGTACCAAGCTACATCTAGGAAGATATCTTTTATAGATCTGACTCTTTCAGAGATTGGAATTTGTCCACTTCATCCTTCTAGGCTTAAAAAATTAGATTCTTTAGTAGAGTTGTTATGGGAAACTGGAAATTCATGGGGTCTCAGAGGCATCATATCATGTCTCTGTCTCAAATTTTTGATATTTCATAATAATGTAATAACATTTTGCAGAAATCAAATAACCACTGAGTTTTAGTTATTGCTAGATAAGTTAGTAGATTAATATAGAATGTTAGTCCTAGTTATAGTTTGTCAAAGATAAGGTGAGAGCATCAGTAGAAAAAATTTCAACTCATTTTTTGTTCTTTAGTCCCCTTCCTATGACCAATGATTTATCAACTCAGCTAGACTTAATTATGTTAGAAAGCAGTTATCATGGTAAGTGAATACTAAGGTAGAGAATGAACCCACTACGAAGTGAAAGAATTGCATCACCATTCAGCCAATATGGAAATTGGTTAACACTGAACAAGAACGTACTCAGGAAAGAGACGAATGCCAATATGTCAATAATTCTCTCTTTTGTGTGTACATGTATTTATGTATACGAGTTTCATACTGACTTCGAGCTGTGTTGCTTGGATTTTTTAATTTTGATGTCATACCAGTGTCGGACACAACATATGATATTGATTTCCAACACTTGATGTATATATTGGGCACTCGATGATCTAGAGTTAGAGGCTATGAAATATTATAACATGAGTAATGACAAATACTCTAGGGCCAGAAGTTGAAAAAAGAACAGATAAATGGAAGTTCCAGGAGCCTTCGGGATGTTAATTAAGACCCAGCATTCTTTTCAACCAAACTAACCAGTAAAGCAAGAGTCAAAATTTTCTTCTTGCTTAACTTCCAACAATAAAGATACTAATTCTTCTTTTTCTGTTTTTCCCTCTGTTTGAGCAGCTTTTAGACACAATGAACCAGCCATGGAGAAGTAAAAGACAATGCTTGAGAAGGACATTGACAGGGCCTTGGTAGTTGGTAGAGTTAAAAAAGAAAATGCTGAATGTGGCTGCAGTTAATGATCTATATTTTGTATTACAAATGGTAGGTAGGTGTATGTATAGGAGCAAAGAACGTTTAGTTTGTAAATTATGAACTGAAATTAGCTTTACACTGTTAGATCAGACTTTGTGATTTGTGTGATCTCTCTATTTGATTCTCACTTGATAGTAAAGGGCAGCTAGGGTAGTGCAAGTTAGATAGATATATGTTCCATTGATACACCGTCTGCCTGAATATATGGTTTGGTTCTAACCTAGACTCTGGTTTGATTGATGTCATTTCTAATTTACTTCTCTTTGTAAGTGGACAAACTTTGGACCATCAGATTTTAGTTTATTCTTCTCTCATTTTTAAAGGAATATAATATATTATGATCGGGATATATTTATTCCTTTAAGTTTTTGTCTGCTAAAGAATGTCCAGAAGGAGAAATTATTGTATGGTACTGGGCCATGCTGAGCTGTGAGCTTAGCCAAACATCTTCTTAAGCCAATAAACCAGATAATTATCGAGTCTTTAAAGAATTCTTTCACTCTCATCTGATCTCTTTGACGAATAAAAAAGTTTTCCATCCAGCAAGTTCTTGAATGGTCTGGTTGCTTCATGGTTGATTTTTGCTTGCAGTGACTACCAACAAGTCTTGTTTCTTCCTGTTGTTTTTTTGAAATTATTATAATTTAAGTTAGGGTTTTATATAAAATGACAAATCACAGGATTGAATTATTAGAAAGAATAGCTCTGGAATTAGAATTTTAGCAAGGCCACAGAGTGAAACCCTAAAAAAAATGAGTTGGGTATTCTTTCGTCAGTGAATTTGTGAAGTAAGACTGAACAAAAGATAGTGGATTCACTTGGTTTTGATTACTTTCGACCTAAAAAAGCTGTGAACTTCATAAGGTTAATATAACAGAGTCCATTATATGAGAGTTTCTCGTGAAATGGAACCAGAGGAACTTGCAGCCTCAAAGTTGCACAATCACAACTCTGATCATTGTTGTATCCGAGGCAAGGCTCGATAAAAAACTTTAGTATATTCTCCACTGCTATACGCATCCCAAACTCTAGTTCGCTTTCTATTCTCCGCTGCTATAGTAATTCACACTTGCTTTCTCCACGAGCTTGCAGTTTGGAAATTATCACCTTTCTGTGCTTTTAGTCTCGGAGTCTCCATGCTCGGTTCACGTCCCCAATTAGCCATTTCAGCAAGCAACTGGTGAGTGAGAAGATTTTCTTCTTTCACCAGCTAATCCTTAAAACGTTCTTGATCTTTATGTCGTAAGACTTGTGAAAACTTTCCTTTCCTTTCTTCTTGTTTGACACAACAATGTTCAACTCCTTGAGTACTCAAAAACAAGTCCTTCAGCAACACTTCTTGCTCTTGCATGACCAAACAACTTACTTACAATAGCCAAGGCAAAATCTGTCACCGTGGCGAGTCCCTTGCTTGTGATCAGCTTTCCATCAATAACCACAGTGGCTCCATCTACCACTTCATTGGTGAGCTTGTCAATGATAGATGGATGAGAAGTGGTTCTCTTTTCCTGCATTTTGCAAAGAAAGGACTAAGGATACAGGTTTTGATTTGTGATAGCTGAGAAGCTGGAGAGTTTGGAATGTTAATTACCTTCAGATAACCATGTTTCTGCAGGACTGCTGATGAAGAGCCAACTGCTCCATATATTCTTCCAGCTGCATCTTGTTCTTTCAATAGTTTTTTCAGAATCTTAGATTTCTGTACGCGTTCGGCCCCAATAATTCCTCCCTGAAAAACTCAACAGCAAAATTCAAGGATGTATGGTGGAACAGAACAAGATAACCTCGAAGTAAATCTTAAATGGTTAACTCAGTATGCTAAATATGCCTTTTAACACTCAGGATTAGGCTAGAATCTGTTTACGTACTCAAACACCAAAGAAAATAATCATACAAGCAGCAATTCTGCGCATCTAATGATCAACTGGGATATGTTCACTTAGCAGTGTTCTTGTTGGGTCCAATGCATCCAGAGATTTATGAGAATTTAATGTCATCTTGGTTGTGGGTGCCGATACTCAAAGACATAACAGTTAGTTCTAATATAGATCTAGACATGGAAGTTCAAAGGATTAATCTATTGAATGAATCTAGATTCTGGTACTTCTGCTGTGAAACAATGCGTGCAAAAGCTACTTGTATTATTGGCATTTTGTTTCTTACCGGAAGAATAATTAGATCATATTTTGACCCAGCAGCATCACCAATCAGCTTGTCAGCAATAATTTGTGTGCCTTGTGACGCAGAAATTCGAATGGACCTTTCCACTGAAGCAACAATGACAGTCACCTTTGCTCGCCGCAGAATATCTATGATAATGATCACTTCAATCTCTTCCGTACCATTTGCAACTGGAATAAGAACCTGCAAAGTATTTTGACAGCGAAACATTATCTCAGCAAAAAGGTGAACCAGAAAATGAATCCGGACCCTGCTAAAAGATATCCACAGCATATCAGCAATCAATGTGTAAAGAAAAAACATCTAGGGTTAAACCTAACCCAGGAAGAAGGATACAGGAAAGAAGCATGGAAAGATTCAAGTCTTCTCTGTTTCAATCCATTCCTAACATAGACCCTACCGGGTAAACCATACAAAAAATCTTCTAACCAATAAAGAAAAAACATCTAGGGTTAAACCTAACCCAGGAAGAAGGATACAGGAAAGAAGCATGGAAAGATTCAAGTCTTCTCTGTTTCAATCCATTCCTAACATAGACCCTACCGGGTAAACCATACAAAAAATCTTCTAACCAATAAAATAAATAACTTATCCAATCAAGCAGCATATATAGCAACTTACGGTAGGACTGTGATCAAGCGACCATGCAATGCTGTTGAATTCTTCCTTCTTAGAATTATTATCACCATTATGCATGATCTAGCAAAAACAATTGGCAAGAATGTCAGAGTAAGACCATTGGCTGCATAATGTGAAACAGGCAAAAGATGAAAAAACTTCAGAGAGGGTCTTACTAGGAAATTCCCAACCTCCCTGGCAATAGAGTCTCCAAACAGCTGCTCTACGAATGACAGAGCAAACTGAAAAGAAGTACCTGGACCACGACTAGTTGTAAGCTCTCCGGAAACTTGAATATTGGATTTAACAGCCCAGAAAGTTGGGAGCTTGTCGAAAAAAGCAGGGTGGCAAGTCATCTTGAATGAGAAACTACAACATGTTTAGGCATTGAAGATGCTGATATATAGATGAACATGACTTCTAGACTGAAGCCAACGACCCACCTTTTTTCTCTTCAAAAGTCCCCATGGCAGAAGTGTGATGGCTGGGGCCGCACATATAGCTCCATATAGCCTCTTTCCCTCAGCTTGTCTCTTTGTAATCATCTGGAGAATTTCACAATCCCTTAACCTGACAGAGCCAGGCATTCCTCCCTTCAAAAAATTGACACAAAATTAGTATCTCCATAACTACATTGTTAAACCCATTTGCAAATTATGAGAGAAAAATCAAACAAGGTAAAAAAAGTCTGTTCTTGTACACCTTTTGCTGCTGCAAATCTATCTTTTTCCACCATTTTAAGTAACTATAGTTCATAGAATTTTGAACTTTTTTCAGTATTCATGTAGTAAACCACAAGTCACAACATGATCAAATTTTCCCTTAAATTCCTTACGAAAATTTAGAGAAGTATTTTACGAGAAAAAAAAAAAATCCTAAAGCCAAGAATTTCTCTCGTCTCAAACACCAATAGGCAAATCATCATATTTGAGGCAATATTCAATAACATCATCATGCACACACATAAAAAGATTTACCGATTAATGCAATAATGAACACATACTTCAAAAAATAACCACGAATTTCATCATTTAAAGAAGCTAACCGGCAGGGCGACAAGATCAAAAACTTGATCAGCACAGGCGGAGATGAAGGAGTCTGCAACCAATCTTGTGCCACTTGAAGCTTCAATCTCGAGCTCTGCCTCCACCGAGGCGACGGTCACGTCTGCACCAGCTCGGCGCAAAGCATCAACTAAGATGACAGCTTCCATTTCCTCTGTACCAAACCCAATTGGCACCAGGACCTGCTCATTCGCAGATACACAAGCAGAATTTCACCCACTACAAAAATCGAAGAAAAGGGTACATGGTTAAAGAAGTATACCTTCTTAGGAGCTCTGGAGATGCTTTTGCTCAAGCTATGACAACCATTTTTCGTCGTTGTTGGAGTAAGAGTTCTACTGGGTTTTGAAATCCGTTTTGCAGCGGCCATCGTTCTCGGTGGGGAAGCCATGGATGCAAATAAAGAGGTTGAGATAAGAGTTGAAGAACCACCAATTGAAGAAAGCTTCTTGTCGTAAGGAAACTTGGTGGAAGCTGGCGTTAGGAGACGCAAAGACTCCAAAGACTCCATGGACGATCGCCGTAGTGTCAGTTGCAACCAAGCACTATCCCACCATTATCCGGGCTTAACACTGGTTTTTGAAGGGAGACGATGCCGTTTAACGATGCCGTTTTAGGGAACGACACCGAGTTACGCAACGATGCCGTTTTAAACCAAGCTAAAACGGTGAGTATCGCTCCTGAATCTGGATAATGACGTAATCTCCATCTGGATTTATAATATATATATATATATATATATATAAATATATATATGCCCCTGGATATGAATGACACACAAGCAAGCAAACCAATGGAAATCATGGCCAAACAGTTGTTATAAAAGGAACGGAGTTAGCTGGCTTGAACTCGGCAAACTTAGACTGAATAGTGATATAAACAAACATGCTAAGGATTCTGGGGAAGAGAGTGCTTTCAGTCTCAAGTGAATTGAATTCCAATTCATGGGTTGTGAAGCCAAGAAGAAGGGACTTTTGTTTGGGAGTACTTCCGGATGGGGTCGACCGAAAATCAGAGTCTTTTGCTCGAAATTCCCAGATCATGGGAGGCCTCATTTCCCAACTCCAATCGCACATCAACAAGGTCTGTGTATATATACTATATGGGTTCTATGGGTCTGTGTATAGACGGTAAATGAATGGAGAAATTTTTTGTTTTAATTGGTTTTAGGTTCTGGGTGGAGGAGGAGAAGAGGCTGTGAAGAGGAACAGGAGCAGGAATAAGCTTCTACCCAGAGAAAGAATCGACCGGCTTATTGATCCTGGTTCTTCTTTTCTTGAGCTCTCCCAGGTTTCTCTTCCTCCTTCCCCTTTTATGTTTTTGTGAAAAAAATAGTTTTTTGATAATTATGTTTCTTCTTGTTTTTCGTGTTATAGCCGGTCATACAGAATTCATAGGTTTGTGAACTGCAATTTCCTTGATTCTTAATGTTGAGGGGGAATCTTGGGTTGGTAAAAGAAGGAAGTTATGGTGTCTTATGGTTCTGAATTGTGAAATGATTGCTGGTTTTTGTTGTTTTCTCTTGGAAAGTTCGTCTCAATGATTGTATGGTTCTACGGAAACCTCAGTTTAGCTATTTAGGATTTGATTGAATCTTTCACCGGAACTTTTGTTAGGACTATCCATTTTCCAACTGGTCCAACCTCAAAAATATTTGAAAGTTCAACAATGCTTTTTCAGAAAGGATGTGGATCAACAAGATGACTACGACTTAGTTAATAATATGGGTGGGATATGCTAGGCTTTATTAGAGTTTCGAAATGCATCTCCTGCTTCTGAAATTTTCAGGAATTTTATCTCAACTGGTGCTTCAAGAAGATGTTCTTCTCTCTGGTTTTTAGGAAGTTATAGAAAGGGGGAACAAGTAGTTTTATTTTTTCACTGACATGCATTCACTTTCAATTTCAAGCCAATTTCTCTTCTGCCATTTTATTTTCCAGGAGGTCGGGGGCATATTTTTATTGTATAATCTTATGTGCTGTTTTAGGGTTGTCGGGTTGAGCCAATGATCAGAACCTTTCTCAGACTTTTGTCAATTTACTTGGACTGTTATAGTTGAGAACCTTTTTGATATTTGCAGTTAGATCTTATTTGTTGGTTTCTTCTAGTGATTAGTTTGGATTTCATCCATACAGTCACAATGTTTTTGTTGTGTCTGCTGCTTATTGTATATTATTAAATGGATAAAGCTTGCAGGACATGAACTGTATGAAGAATCCTTGCCATCAGCTGGAATAATTACTGGCATAGGTTCAGTTCACGGGAGGTTATGTATGTTTGTGGCAAATGATCCTACTGTCAAGGGAGGAACGTATTATCCTATCACTGTGAAGAAACATCTTAGGGCACAGGAGATTGCTGCTCAATGCAGATTACCATGTATTTATCTTGTAGATAGTGGAGGTGCTTTCCTTCCAAAGCAAGCTGAGGTGTTTCCAGACAAGGACAATTTTGGGAGAATCTTCTATAATCAAGCAATAATGTCTTCTGAAGGAATCCCCCAAATTGCACTAGTATTAGGTTCCTGCACTGCTGGAGGAGCCTATATTCCTGCAATGGCTGATGAAAGTGTAATGGTGAAAGGAAATGGTACCATATTTCTAGCTGGACCCCCCTTAGTGAAGGTTAGTTCCAGACACTTAGTCTTTCATATTGATTTCTTTGATATTGCCAAAATATACTCATGGATCTCTGAAACCTTTGTTTCTTATACAAAGGTAAACATGTTTAATCCAATATGGTCTCAATGAATATAAATTCTTGAAGTTTATGCTATAAACTTCTCTTTCTAGAACTTAAACTAGATCTAAGGAGAAGTTTTAGTAGGCTGCCACAGGTGAGGAAGTCTCCGCAGAGGATCTGGGGGGTGCTACAGTGCACTGCAAAACATCAGGGGTTTCAGATTACTTTGCTCAAGGTATTAGCTGTAGTTACTAGGTTTTCTAACAGTTTCACTTATATTGTCTAGCGCATATGCGCTGCTTCTAAACTTATTCAAATCCTGTAGATGAACTACATGGACTTGCTCTTGGAAGGAACATCATCAAGAACTTGCATATGGCTGGGAAACAAGGGATGATGGGTGGGTCACAAGGCATGAACTTCGAATTTAAGGAGCCATTATATGATGTAAAAGAGCTGCTTTCGATTGCACCAGCAGACCACAAACAGCATTTTGATGTTCGATCAGTTATTGCTCGAATTGTTGATGGAAGTGAATTTGATGAATTCAAGAAGTTGTATGGCACTGTGAGGACATCTTATATCTAACAAAATTTTAAAGTTATTTGCTTTCTTTTGCGATGTCCGTAAATTTCCTGATCCCAATTGCGTTGGTGCAGACTCTTGTGACAGGTTTTGCTAGAGTTTTTGGCCAACCTGTGGGAATCCTTGGAAATAATGGGATATTATTTAATGAATCTGCTTTAAAAGGTGCCCATTTCATTGAAATATGCGCTCAACGTAAAATTCCTCTGGTCTTCCTTCAAAACATCACTGGTTTTATGGTAAATCATCCTTGGTTGCTTCTCTTTATCTTTCCATTATTTCTGGGTAATGCTGTCTAGTGTGAAATTCTGCTACTTTCTAAAACCTACGGATATTGTCGGGTATTTGGTCCATTGGCATGCAAGTATCTCTCTTTCATCTGTAGGTTGGATCAAGATCTGAGGCAAATGGTATAGCAAAATCAGGAGCAAAAATGGTGATGGCAGTTTCGTGTGCGAAGGTTGGTTTTTCTAGTTCTAGATGCTCTTTGTAGTCTCATATTATTCTTGTCATATTACCCTGTATAGATTCCTGTCTTAGGCAGATATCTTGAAAATTCATATTTTGCCATGATTTTTTCAAATGACAAAATACTTTGTTATGAGAAATTAGGAATAACCGTATCAACTGAGAGGAACATACACAATAAGAATCATATAACTTCTTCTGCAGGTACCGAAAATCACTATCATTATTGGTGGAAGCTTTGGTGCTGGAAATTATGCAATGTGCGGTCGTGCATACAGTCCCAACTTCATGTTCCTTTGGCCAAATGCCAGAATATCTGTGATGGGTGGAGCTCAGGTAACTTGCAAATACTTTCTTACAGATGTGTACAATCGTAGCTGTAGGAGAATCAGAAGGGCCAACCAAATATTGCTTAGTCTGTCTACTCATAGCTGTTCACAAGTGCGGTCCTTATCTTTGTAAAATATATACGTATACATAATATGAATCGGCAATATATTGGTGCAGGCATGTTTGATCGGTAAAACATACAAACAAATCTAAAAATCTCCTTATTTTGCCATGTTTATGTACTTGACCATTTTCCATAAAATGTGTTACTTGATGACCCTTCAAAATTCATTGGTGAACCTCTGGGTATATGCAAAGGCTGCTGGTGTTCTATCCCAAATAGAAAAAGCCAACAAGAAAAAGCAAGGAATTCAGGTAAAAACCTCACCGGAAAAGACTAGTTTACGTTCCTTACACTACATATATTTTAATGCAAGCTCATATGTGTCTGCAGTGGACGAAGGAAGAGGAGGAAATGTTCAAGGAAAAAGTCGTGGGTGCATATGAAAGAGAAGGAAGCCCATATTACTCGACAGCGAGGCTTTGGGATGACGGAATTATCGATCCGACAGACACAAGAAAGATCATAGGTCTCTGCATTTCTGCTGCTTCCATGAACCGCCCAGTAGAAGATACTAAATTTGGTGTATTTAGAATGTAATTTAATGACTCTCTCTCTCTAGTGACAGCATTTTTACCCAAAAACATTAGCCTGCTCTCCTCGATAATAAATGTATTTTCTTGATATGTGATCATATGCTCTCCAGAGGCTTGTATGGGTTCACAGAAAAATAATGCATAATGTTGTCTTTGATCGAATTATTTTGGTTTTACCTTTTATAATTTGTTTTTACTTTTCAGGATTCAATTTCCGTTTTATTATTTATATTAATTGTAATGACATTAGATCAAGAGTGGCGCCCGTGGCCTAATGGATAAGGCGTCTGACTTCTAATCAGGCGATTGTGGGTTCGAGTCCCACCGGGCGTGCTTCTGGGTTTTTTTTTTAACACTTTCATTATTTTTCACCGAATAACTTTTTCCCTTCCAGATCCGAAAGAATGCAGACAGGTGGGTCCCACGCCTTCTGCTTCTTCTTCTACTCCTCCTATTGTGTTCTTTGATATCTCAAAAGATCACCAATCGACAAAAACGTGCCGTTCTTTCCTTCCGCCTCGTGGACTAGCTGATATAAAACCTTTCTGCTGTCAATTCAATTTATTTTTCTTTCATTCTCGGTTCACTTCTCTAAATTCTCATCTCCCTCTCTCTCTCTCTCTCTCTCTCTCTCTCTCGTTCAAACGTATTTTTCACTGATGGCTTCTTCTTCTTCTGCTGTTAGTTTTTTCTCTACTCATTCACCTTCTTCACGTCTTCCTACTCTTTCCTCTTCGTTTTCCTCTCAGCTGAAACCCACTGCGGTCTCAATTCCTTCATATTTGCAGATCAGTAAGCTGTCTTTTGTGAAGTCTGACAATAATTCCTATCTCTCTGTCAGAACTCTCTGTATGCATGAACCCCGAGGTAATTGTTACTCTCCGTATATTTCTTTCGTTGATCTGACTTCCCCATTTTCGTTTTTGATTTGATTTTGGCTTATGAGGTTTTGAGGTTTAGTTATAGTTCTTGATAGTTATCCGGTAGTAATACTTTTCTTGATTTGTAGTCTTGGTTTTCTCTCGTAAGTTTGTTTGATCTAAATTCGATCTCTTCACCTCCGTACTTTCTGGGTTGTACAATGTAAAAAAGATACTCGACGTTCTTGGTCAGGTTCTGAACTTCTTTCTTTGTGGTTGTACGGGTTTTGAACTCAGTATGAGGTGCGGGTTTTTCTCTGTTTTACCGAAAATATTGATTGGGTTTGATTTTAATTTTCTACTTACTTACTGGGTTATATTTCTTCTGGGTTTTGTTTGGTTGCCGGAAAAAATGCCGGAACCCGAAGATGATATGATTTTTGGAACTTTTTCTTTTCTGGGTTAATTAGTTTTTGGACCTGAGTTATTAATTTCCCCTGATTGCAGAAGTAGGATGTTTTCATAATCAAGGATAAGCTGCCAAATGAAAGACTAGGTTTAAGTTCTGAAAGTAAGTCTTTAAAAGTTAATTATTAAAATTGAAATACAGGGCTTTTGGTTAATTCCTTATTCCTGGTGATTGTTGAATGCTTCTGTGCGAAAGTCTATTTGTCAAGGGCCTGGAGAATTAAAATTACTATAACTGTTTTCCTTTTTGTGCTCCATCCAAACAAGCCTTGTTTTCATATGGGTAGGATATTTTATTAAGTATAAGTAATTGTTTAAGATACAAAACTTGTTAATCAGATGAGGTTCTTTGTCCTGAGCTCCTGATATTTATAAAGAGGCATTATTTAAAGTGTAGCTATAAAGAGGTATTATTAAAAGTGCAGCTATAAAGAGGTATTATTAAAAGTGTAGCTAGCTTAGTTTGCTTGTTCATTTTCTTACTGTAACTTTTGATTATTTCATCAAATACATGAGTTTTCTTTGTGTAGAAACTCTTCTCTGGTTGAAATTGAAGCCTTCCTTCTTCTTGCTTTTTAACAGATTCAGATCTCATTTGTGAATTGTTATCCAACTGGATAATTTGTTATTTTGCCTGTTCTTTTTTGTCAGTTCCCAAAGGTTTTTCTTGTCCGTCTTATGGGTGCCTGAGTTAGCCAAACTATTAATCGTAAAATTCAATTTATTCGTTCTTACATGTAAACTCCTTAAAATTTGCTGTGTGTTTTCTTATAATTTACAAATTGGTTAATGAATGTGGGAAAACCGATTAAGCTCACAAAACAATATAGATGTTAAATACAATGATATGATGCTGCCCAATACGTCGATTGCTACTTAAGGATAAGCAGGGTATTGGATTTGTTGTTTTGCCGCTTGTACTTATCATGATCATCTTAAGTTGTTTGTTTCGCCCTTGCTTTCACCATCTTTTAGCTTGCATCTATTCACAACACAAAGAGAAACTAAGGCAATCGGAGAAACAGCATTGTTGGTGAGATGTGATTGTTGACTTTTAATTGGTATCCTTACTCTTATACATTTTATATTCTATTTCCATTCAATTCCTAAGTAATAATGTTGTTTTCATTTAAATTTTTAGCTTGTTTGTATTATTTTCCATACGATTGAAATGTAAATGAAACTTTATGAACGTGGCTTATATGATATGATGTGAATGGAAGACAAGGATTAGATATTGGAAAGCTCTATTTAACTCTCAAATCTCAACCTTATCACGTTTTACCTGATCATGCAGCTCCTGTGGTCACCAAAGACTCGTGGAAAAACTGGATTCTCGAAAGCGATACTCCTGTCCTCGTTGAATTTTTTGCTAGTTGGTGTGGACCCTGCAGGATGGTCCATCGTATCATTGATGAAATTGCTGTAGAATACAATGGGAGACTAAAATGCTTTGTCCTAAACACAGATACTGACTTGCCAATTGCTGAAAACTACGAGATTAAGGCTGTCCCGGTAGTTTTGCTGTTCAAGAATGGGGAGAAGCGGGAGACTGTGGTTGGTACAATGCCAAAGGAATTCTACCTTGCTGCCATTGAGAGGGTTCTGGGTTCTCAAACATGATTCAGTTCATACATAATTTGAACAGGCAATGAAACCAAGTATATCCTTTCCTTTCCTTCTGTATCTTCGGTACCCTATGATTTGTAATTCTCGAATGTCATATCTGGGTTACCTGTATAAACTGTAAATAGTTGCCAGACTGTTAAAGAGTAGTAGCTAGCTTGCTCCCTTTCATGTGTTGCTTTCCATTTTGTTGAGAATAGAACTGTTTTTTTTTTTCTTTTGAAATGAAAACACTACTAGTCTACTGCTTGCTTCTTTGCCATTGCATGTTTTCTTTTCTTTCCATGAACCTGTCCGGATATTCGCAATTTCCGGTTGATTTGAGAAATCAGGGTTTGGGATAGAACACGAGATATCGAGGTACTACGGACACGACACGAGCACACAAATAGTTTTACTTTCAACTAAAATCATTCAAGAATCTTTAATTTGAGATATAATTGAGTTTTTTCTCCTATCAAAAAACGTGTTGAATGGAGAATAATGTGGACAAAATGTTTTTGTCATCAGTTGCAAGTATTAACATTTGGATATATTATATCATCATTGGCTTTTTATTATTACCATATTGTTGTATTTAGTTATATGTATTGTTACTGTTGTTAGGCATGCATGATCATTGTAGTTACAGTAACAGGTTTCTACTATTATCATCTTTGACCATCATGACAACAGCTATTATTATATTCAATTAGTATATATAACTATCTATACTTATAAATGTTTATATATATAAATGGAACTTCAATAATAATGTTCCACAAAGAATAAGTATTATTTGATAAATAACTAAAATACAGTGGTAACTAAAAACACAAGAAATCAAGAAGCAAAAACTTAGCACTAGTTAAAAAATTACGAATTTATTATTTTATAAGTGTATTATAAGTTGACAATTATGAATATATAACATTTAATTGTTAACGATAAATTTTTTACGGAGAAAGTATTATATATCTGTTAAATTTTTTTAAATTGTGGTGGTTATAATTAATCAAATATTTAATGTAATTTATGAGTAAAAATAAATATATAATCACGTAGAAAAATTC